GCTACTCGGGAGGCTGAGGCAGAAGGATCACTTGCAGCCAGGAGGTTGAGGTTGCTGTGAGCTAGGCTGACGCCACGGCACTCACTCTAGCCTGGGCAACAAAGCGAGACTCTGTCTCAAAAAAAAAAAAAGAAAAGAAAAGAAAAAAGAAATTAATGAAACTGAGCAAACTTCGCAGCAACAGCTATGGGATGCAGAGATAGCCTACCTTAAATGTTTTTATTATTATGCAACAAAGAACATATATAAATGAATGATGCATCTGCTTCAAACACAGCAAAAGAAATTAGGAGGAGGGAAAGAATCACAATGAAAGCTGAAAATAATGAATCATATTTTTAAAAACCTGAAACATAAATTAAAACCTGCCACTTCAAAAAGAAATAAAATTGAAAGCCATGAAGTCCCAGAAATGGAGGAAAAGACAGCAGAAGTGCAGTGCACTAGGGATGAGAAAGGACTGGGGTAAGTGAGGGTGAGGATGCTGTTGCAGTTTTATTTCAGTAAATTTGAGGACCTACTGCGAAAGGGCTGATTTTCTGAAGAATCAAATAGGCAGAAATGTTGGTAATAGGGGACCTTACATTCGGCAGAACCCTGAAACCAAACTGGGCCCTGGGGCGGCTGGATGGTTAGGGGTTGGGGAAGCCAGCGGCCTCTCCTTGGAGGGGTGTCGGGCGCTGTGACTGCGAATCCCAGGGCGGGCTCCTGGCAGGACAGCAGCTGAGGGCCATCGAGACTGCGCAGGAGCCAGGCGGGATGAGCCTGCTCTGCCACCACCCACTGTGTGGCCCTGGCCCGTGCCCTTGCTGGGCCTCGGTTTCCTCCAGAAGTGGCTTCAAGATGGTAGACACTGGGGCCCCAGGGGGCAGCTGGAGGTGGCCGGGGCACGGGGTTCTGGGAGGAGGAAGGACAAGCACCGGGTGGGAGTGTTTCCGAGTCCCCTCCACCCTCTGACTGCCCAGCCAGAGCAGCCACATTCTCCACCGCGTGACAGAGCGGATTGTCCCGACTTCATCCAAAGAAAGGTTTTGCCGCTTGTATTAATCAGGATTCTTCAGAGAAACAGAACCGATAGGATATATAGTGTCTACATATATAGAGAGAGATTTACTATGAAGGATTGGCTCATGCGATTATGAAGGTGAGAAGCGCGACAGTCAGCTGTCGGTAGGCTGGGGGCCCAGGAGACCCAGCTGGGTAGCTCTGGTCCACACTGAGGGTCTGGGAGCCAGCCGAGCCAGGGGGCCAATGGTGTAAGTCCCAATCCCCGTCCAAAGTCCTAAGAACTGGGAGCTTTGATGTTCAAGGGCAGGAGATCGATGCCCAGCTCAAGCAGAGAGAAAATTCACCCTTCCTCTACACTTGGGTTCTGTTCAGCCCTCAGCGAGTTGGGTGGTGCTCTCCTACCTTGCTGAGATCCATCTTCCTTAGTCTACTGATTCAGACGCTAATCTCTTCTGCCTTCACAGACACGACCAGAAATAATGTTTTACTAGCTATCTGGGCATCCCTTAGCCCAGTCCAGTTGCCACATAAAATTAACCATCTCATCGTTGAAACAGAGTTTGAAAGCCAGACGGTCCCCCCCAACTCCCAAGCTGCTTCCAGCTCTGACCTTTTTATAACATTCACCCGCCAGAGTGCATTGGTTTTCCTTTGACAACTTTCCGGCTTTCCAGGATTTTAAAGATGTCCGTGATTTAGCCTTCACATGGAGATGGATATGTGTCCATGCATGTGAGTGTGTGTGTCTGTTCTCCTTCTTTTACAAGACCACAGCTTAATTTGGAACATAATTTAAACTCGCTTTTCCTGAATGACCTAGAACTTGGCAAGAGCACAGAGGCTGACGGGGCTGGGAGGTGGGTAGGCAGCTTCCTCACACATGGCTGACTTTCCTCTTGGAGGATGATGAGGCTTACAGCCTTGTGGTAGAAATAGCTCTGTGTGGCTTCCGCCAGGAAGACACTTAACAAGGGAGAGAGGATTAGTTTGCTAAAAAAGAAAAAGCCTACCAAATTGCTACCATAATTTTGGAATTCGTTTCTGCAAAACGTATCTGGAGACATAAAGATGTTCTTGCCCGCTAACTCAGTAATTCCACTTCTGGGCATTTGCTCCAAAGAAATAAATTTAACTAAAAGAAAAGCTCATTGGACTTGGCTGTTCACTGCGTCTCCCCCGCCGTAGTGAAACACAGGAAGCAGGAAAAGATATTTAGGGTTAAGAGCAAAGGTTGTGTCATACAAGGTCAAAGGCTCGCCCAGCCACACAGAGGCCCATTCATTTGTGTGTTCAGCAAACACTGACCTATCACCTGTGGGTCCCGGGCACCGTGCTGGGTTCTGGGGAAGGAAGAGTGAACAGGATGCAGAGTTTCCACCTCGGGGCCATTGGGCACAGGGCTGGAGGCAAGTAAACAGCTGCAATTCAATGTGATGGGGGAAGTACAAGGGCAGTACTTGGCACTCAGGGAAGGCTTCCTGGAGGAAGTGACCTTTAAGCTGAGTCATGAAAGCTATGGTGATTGGCCAGGATGATGGGAGGAAGAGTGCTGGGGCAGAAAGTATGGGTGAAGCCCGGGTAGCAACAGAGGGTGTGCCATGGTCGGGGACAGAGAGCAGCTCAGTGGTGGAAGCAGAGAGAGATGGTGCTGGAGGCCCCAGAGCTGCCCGGACAGGCCCAGCGTGCAATGTGGAGGAGCCTTTCCCTTAGAGCCACCGAGGGGTTTAAAACAGGCGAGTGAAATGGTCAGATTTATTTATGGTTTGGAAAGCTCAGTCCGACTGCCTGGGGGAGGACTGGCATGGCTGCAGCCAGACCAGAGGCAGCCCCCGTGGAGGCACAACGTGGACACGCGCCATGGCTCCCATGGGGCAGAGCCCTCGTGTTCTGGAGAGGCAGAATGGTGCAGTGGTTGAGGGTGATCTCTGAAACCTGACTATGTGGGCTAAAATCCCAATTTCTTTGCTGTGTGACCCTTTGTAAGTCAACTAACATCTCTGAGTAAAAGGCAGATGGTAATAATAACAAGCCACCCCAGAGCGTTGTTGGGAGTGTTGAGGGCGTGGCTGTGTGCACCTCCAGCAGTGCCTGGAGTGGGGCGTGCTCTCCAAGTGAAGCTGCTAGAGTTGTCACCATTGATGGGCAGCTTGCTGACACAGGCCGTGAGTGGGTTAAAGAGAGGGGTGTGGAGGGATGCCCACATTCCTGGCTTGGGCAGTGGGGAGGACGCTGTACAGGGCTTGTGGGGAGAAGTGGGTGAATTGGGGCATGTGGAGAACGAGGCACCTGTGGAGTGAGCAGATGGAGACATCCCGTGGGCTGTTGAGTAGACACATGTGAAGCTAAGCAGACAGGCTGAGCCAAAGATATCGATTTGGGCTTTGAAAGGATTAAAGAGGCAACTGAGCCCCTGGGAGATGATGAGATAGCCCAGGGAGAAGGTGGAGAGAGAAGAGAAAAAAAAAGAGGGCCCAGGAGAGAGCCCTGCAGTAAAGGGATGGACCAGGAAGGTTTCCTTTTAAATGGGAAGATTCAAACCTGTTCAAATGTTGATGAAGGAGCCTACAAACAGCAAGTATACTGTGGAGAAATGGCACTCAATAAGGGTGGACTTTATCACCTTTTCTTATCATTACCATCACCACCATCACCACCCATCACCATCATCACCATCACCATCATCATCACCAGCAGCAGCATCACCATCATCACCATCACCATCATCAGCATCATCACAATCACCATCACCATCATCATCAGCATCCCATCACCATCATCACCATCACCATCATCAGCATTATCACCATCACCATCACCATCATCACTATCACCATCATCATCATTATCACCATCACCATCACCATCAGCAGCATCAGCATCAGCATCACCATCATCACCATCACCATCAGCATCATCACCATCACCATCAGCATCATCACCATCACCATCACCGCAACCACCACCCCCACCACCACCATCATCACCACCATCACCATCACCACCATCATCACCACCATCATCACCATCATCACCATCACCACCACCATCATCACCATCATCACCATCACCACCACCATCATCACCATCATCACCATCACCACCACCACCACCATTACTGTCACTATCAACATGAGAGGACCGATCAAGGATCAATTGATATCGATCATGGCATCACATTATGCAGCTGATCAGAGTTATTTTTAACAAAGTTATAATGACATGGGAAAATGCCTATAAAGTTATGTGAAAAAAGCAATACAAATATACAAAGCATAGAGCATTGTATATGCAATATGTTAACCATGGAAACACATCCAAAAATCCACTCATAGAAAAAAATACAGGAAGTTGATGCACTAAGAAGTAATAGTGCTATTTTAGGGTGGTAGGAATGTGTCTGGGCTTCTTTCTGAATTTGCTACAATGTCTGTATTGTATCATTAAAAATACAGTTAACCTTTGTTTTATAAAAAGGGACAGGCTGGGCGCAGTGGCTCATGCCTGTAATCCTAGCACTCTGGAGGCTAAGGCGGGTGGATCGTTTGAGCTCAGGAGTTGGAGACCAGCCTGAGCAAGAGCAAGACCCCGTCTCTACTAAAAATAGAAAGAAATTAATTGGACAACTAAAAATCTATAGAAAAATTAGCCGGGCATGGTGGCACATGCCTTTAGTCCCAGCTACTCAGGAGGCTGAGGCAAGAGGATCACTTGAGCCCAGGAGTTTGAGGTTGCTGTGAGCAAGGCTGATGCCATGTAACTCTAGCCCGGGTAACAGAGTTGAGACTTTGTCTCAAAAAAAAAAAAAAAAAAAAAGGGACAAAGGAGGACAGTTGTGACCCTGAAAAAAAACCCAGCCAGGCATTGTGGGGCGTACCTATAGTCCCAGCTACCAGGGAGGCTGAGGTGGGAGGATCACTTAGAGCCCAGGAGTTGGAGGCTGCAGTGAGCTACAAGGATGCCACTGCACTCTACTCAGGGTGGCAGAGGGAGACTCTGTCTCAATAAAAACAAACAAGGCAACTGGACATCCCTCCTCACGACCCCCCACCCCTTCAAAAGAAAAAAAAAAAGAGGAAGCTGAAGGAAACAGCATTTCTCCCAAGGTGTGCTCTCAGAGTCTCTGGCCTGGCAGTGACGTCCCAGGAAGGAACGGCTGTGTGGTCAGACAGCCTTGGGGACCCAGTATCTGCAGCTGGGGGTGTCCCTGCTGGCTCAGACCCTCACTCTGCCACTGCACTCTCTGCTCAAGGGCCACCTCCCCTGGGTGCCCAGACTCCAGCAGCCCCCACCATGCTGCCCTCCCTGCCTGTCCCCAGCCGGCACTCTCTCCTCCATGTCCTTGTTGCTTTCTCCACTCACAGTTCCGTGAGAGCAAGAACCTCGGCACCCCGGCCCTGGGGTGCACCTGGCTCAGAGTAGGGGTGGTGTCTACGGATGGATGGATGGACGGACATGGTACCCCCCGCCCGAACTCACAGTGCACGCGAATGTATCAGACGTGGCGCCTCCTACACCCAGGGGCTGGTGACACGCTGTGGAACTGACTTCCACGGAATGTACTCTGGGAAATCCCTCCCCACGACGGCCCCCAGGCTCCACTGCGGGGCTGCCATTCCACAAGTGGCTCAAATGAAAGTCCCTGCTGCAGGTGGCCAGGGCGTGTGGAGGGAGGCGAGCGAGCGTGGTGGCTGCCCGCTGCCCTCTCCGACTGGGTCCTCCCTCTCGCCTGCTTTCCGCTGATGTCTGAACCCTGGAGCTGCCTCAACCTGAGAAGGAACATGAGCAGGAAGGAACTTGCCAGAACAAGGGAAAAGCCCTTCCTGTAGCATCCGAGTTTCTGAACATGCAATTGACTCGGCGGATGCCAGGACCAACGGTGGTTGAAGGTGAGAATGGGGTGGCCTCAGGCGCACAGGATGCTGCCTGGCTTCTCCCGAGGCTTGGTTTGGACACAGACAATGAGCAGACACTGTCCCAAACCTCCCTCTTCTGTGCGAATCGGAGGGACACTGCAGGCCCTCAGGGTACAGGGGCTGGGCGGTGCTGGGCTTCGGTGTCGCAGCCCATTCTCTTTTCAGGAGCCACTCTCTGGGGGCCTGAAAGACACAGAAGCCCGTTTGGCCAAAAGAATCTCAGAAGTGTCATAGAGCGCATGACCTTGGTCTCTCCAGGGCAGGAGTCTGGCGATTTCCTAGTTAATGCCTGGTAAGGAGGGAGGAATTGCCCCAAATAGTATAAACTAAAATGTCACAGCCAAGTTCTTTTCCAGTGTCCCCCGTTCTGCCCCTCCTGGTGACACGGCAACTCACCTACTAAACAAGAGAAGAAAGGTTTCGGGTCCTGCCTCACCCAAGGGCTTGTTCTGTTGTCACTGAATGTTCATCACTGGGCCCCGAGGGGCTCCAGTTACCTGGCTTTATTCCAGGGAGAGCTTGATCGCATTAGAGGAACGTGGGACATGGCCCAAAGCAGTTGCCTGGGAACACAGGAAGGACAGAAGAGCCCTCATGCACCTAGTCCCGCTGGTTCAGAATTCGGCCTGGAAGCCACTCCTGGCAGACTTGGGGGATGGGCGGGGTGGGGGCTGGTGTTAGGGAATCATCTGGCCTTGGAGGTCCCTTCCGTGTCTCTCCACGTTAAGCCTCGGTATGATTAATCTCTTCCCACGGCAGCTCCCAAGACGGCGCGTGTGCAACTTGGATCCCGCAGCCAACAATCAGTGCCTGGGAGCAAAGTGTCCCAGTGTCCAATGCTCGAGTTGGGGAAATGCCCAACTCGACAATTGCAGAACCTTCCATGCCTTTCACAGGCAGCTTGCACTCAGATCTCTCTGTCTCTCTCTCCCCTTTGCAGTATGCAGCATGCAGCACCTTCTAAAATTATCCGGAAACCCTCTGTTAGCACCTCCTCAAACGGTGCCTGCCCCACAGACACCCATCTGAGGACGCTGGCGTGGAAGGCGGCTCGTGGGAACTGGGAACTCTGCCCTTACCTCTGACACCACCTGGCTCTGTGAGCTTGGGCCAGTGCTTCGATTTCCCCAGCCCTCTTTCTTTAGCGTCTCTGTGATGATCCTACCTCTCTGGATGTTGTATGAACGAGTTGAAATGACAATTCCAAGTGTGGGGGAGGAAGTGCAACAACAGGGACGCTCCCACACTGCTGGCACAGCTGCTGTGGAGGACAATTTGGCAACACTTAGTGCCCTAGAAACTCACAGGCCCACTCCTGGGGAGGGATCCCAGAGAGTATCTCGCACATGTGCACAAAGACACTGCACAAGGACACTCACCATTATGTAACTGGATGCCAAAGTGACATTTCAGCTGCGGAGTCAAGATCCACGGGACGTGGCATTCCAAAGGCACGGCAAGAGAGGCTCCCATGAAACCTCTTAGATCCATGTTAGAGTATAAAATGGTCAGCAGTGAGAAATCTTCAAAAGTATTTGTAAGGAGTATCTCTCTGGGGGCAAGTTGAGCTGTTGATTCCAAATCCCCTTCTCTCAAGAGGGAGGAGAGGTGGTTGCTTCTGCCCCATCCTAGCCCATGTGCAGAGCTGGACCTCTGTCCTCTGGAGTGTGTGGATCAGTGGCTGACAAAGTCCAAGGCAAGAAGGTGGCTCCCAGCAGTTGCCCGGAGGAGGCTGAGTGTGGGAGGTGGTGACTGCCCACCCCCAGGGGCAGGGCACGGGCAGCACAAGGCTGGTTTTCTCAGGCAGACGTGAGCCCCCAAGCAAGGACGGGGATGGGTCATCTAAGATGCTGTCCAGCAGGGCCACCTGGAGGGTGCTGGGACTTCTGCAGGAGGGAGGCCCGGGGTCCCTGTGCGCTGGGGCTGCAGAGGGGGAAAGCAGCGACCTAGACAGAGCGCAAGGGGACTGCAGGCGGGAGCCCGTCAGCAGCGCTGGGCTTCTCCAGGAGCCTCTGAAGGCTCTCCCGAGAAGGGCCAGTTGAAACATACCGTCCACCCCAGAGGGTCCAGTAAGAATTTCCCTTTGTCCCTGTCTCACACCCCAGCCCCACCTGGCTCCGGACCTAGCTGGCAAGTTGGAGGGAAGGGCGATGCTCTGCAGTCCCGCCACCAGGTGGCGCACCTGCAGCTAGCAGCAGGGCTTGGAAGAGGGAAATTTTAAGTTTAACCCATGTTCAAAGTTTTTTGATACCGACCTATTCGGTCTGCTAAGGCATCTACTTTTGTTTTCAGCCTAAATAATAAAATATGTTCTTAACTCATCCACATTACGAGCTCAGGCATACTCTGTGTTCAAGAGCTCCTAAATCTCCCGCCTCCTGGGGCTCCCTGAATGCAGGGGTGCCCCGAGGAGGACCAAGGACAGCAGCAGTAGCTGCGCTGCTGCTCCCACCCCTCCCCCGCTCCCAGGCCCCAGGGTGGCGTGAGTGTGTGTCCCATTTTCACAGGGAGGAGACGGTGTCCTCTGGGACACCCCGGAAGGGCATGGAATTCCTGCTAGGGAAACGGGGCTCCCTCCTGCGAGAGGAAGCAGCTTTCTTAAACGGTCTGTGTGTGTCAGGTCCCATCTGTTGGCAGAGGGAGGGAGGATCCAGGTCGGGGGACCAGGGAGGGGTGTTCCCCAGGGGGCCTAAGCAGAATGGGGGACCTGGGAAGGAGGGGCCAGCCCAGGTTTCAGGACAGCGCTGAGCACCCAGCCACAGGAGGGAGGGCCAGGGGCCAGGGCACCCTGGACAGGAGGGTGGGGGACAGAAGTAGGCTCTGGAGAAAGGTTCAGAACGGAGGCTGCATGTGCACGCACGTCCCGGGTGAGTCTATGTCCGGCACTTGGCCTCATGGCGTCCCATCCCCAGGCAGTGCCAGGCACTGGGGCCCGGGGTCCGGTTTCACAGCCCGGGAAGCTGAAATCGTCGTGAAGCTTGTCAGCTGTGATGACGTCACGGCGTCCTCACCAGAGCGGCAGACTGAAGTATTTATAGGCGAAAGGACATGGTGGCTTGGACTTGCTTTTAAAATACTCTGGTCCTTTCAAAAAAGTTAAAGGAGACAGGAAACAAGATTTTCTAAATGTTGATAATTTTTGAAGCTAGGTGAGAGGCTCTCTCCACTTTTGTGTATGTTTGACATTTTCTATGAAGTTTTACAAAAAGAGAATTTGCAGGAAGAATAGGCCTGGGATCGGTTTCCACCTTGCAGCAAGTGTGTGCTTCTCAGCTCCTTTCACCAAAAAGCTGCCTCCCCGGTTGTGGGTTAAATGCATCATTTTAATAGGCCAAGGGTCTCAAACGATGCTTTTTCTATGAGTTCTCCTGCCTGTGAGATAGGATGACAGTAGCCTGTCACCAGATCACAGAAAAGATGGTTGAGAGAATGTCTAACCCTTGGGCAGTGGAAGTCATCACCCAAAAACATTTGGGGGCTGGGAAGGTGCTGGAGTGGTTTACTTCCCAGCAACCACAGACAGCCCCGGCCCACGCAGGCTCTCCCGCCCTGCGGCCAGCAAGCCACACACAGTGGAAACCACAGACGCAGGATCTACCGGTGCCAGAGATCCACGAACTTTCCCTCTGCCCGGTTCCAGCTGGCCCTGGAGGCTCCCCTCCACCCCTCACCCCTGCCCCCACTGGGCTCCCGGCTGACCTTGGACCCTCCCTTCCCCACTGGCGGAGGCTCCACCCGCCACGCCTGGATCGCCCGCCCAGCAGCGCTTGTGCGTGGAGGAGCCGGAAAGAGCTCACACTGGCTCGGTGGTGAACCCCAGATCAAGCCTCCCTGCTGCTGGGCCTGCAAGGGCCCCCAAGTGCGGCCGCCCTACCACCCGCCGCCCCCTTCCTTGCTGGCAGCTCCCTTACCTGCCCTTGAACTCTGGCATCCGCTGCCCGGCTGGGTCGGAGGCCCTCTTCTCCTCGCAGGCTTGCCCCACCCCGCAACCAGCCGCACAGCCAAGGCCCGGGGCTGCCCCTGACCTCACGCCACCCCCGCCTGCTCCAGGCCCGACCCCTTACCCTCCTGCAGGCCCTGCCAGAGGCCTGAGAACTAGTCAGGGATGAGGACTCACCCCTCTCTCGCCTGGTCCCTCCCCAGGCCTGCTGAGGTCCCCCTGTAAGCCTGTCTCGGCAGCACCTCGGCCCACGCTGCCACCACTGCCAACAGACTATGCCAACGCCCCGCACCTGCCACCCTCCGCAGCCTGGCCGCCTTGCCTAAGGCCGATCTGCTTAACCCATCGGTGGCTTCCCTTTGCTCTCAGCATTCAGAATAAGCCCTTAATGTGCCCCCCAGGCCTTGCCTGGGCTGCCTCCCCCACGCCCCGGCCCCTGTGCCCCTCTGTGCCCTTCCATTCCCCTCCAAGGGAAAGGCCTCCGTGTCGTTGCTCCCCACCTGGGCCACTCCTTCTCTTTCTGCGCGGGGAGGGAAGCTCTGCAGAGTCCCAGGCTCGCTCCCGTCTCCCTGTGAGATGCTCATTTCTTTCACCCTTGCCACGGCTGTCATCTCGATATGCGGTTGGGCAATCACTCTAACAGTCATGCCCTCCACGCACCGCAGGTGCGCCAGGGTGGGAACCGGCCCGGTTTTGCCGTCCTTCCACCCCGAGCACCTGGCACATATTTGTTAAGACAAGTTTGGAGCAAGCGCCAGCCTCAGGAAGTAACTTCCTTCTCCAAGCCTCAGCGTATCCATCGGATACGCTGCTTTCCCTCGGGGATGTCACACGCCTACAGTGTCCCCTCGGCGCCTGCAGAGTGAAGGACAGCTGGCCTCCCTGCCCTGCTCTGGTGGCAGGCACGCTCTGGATCTACTTCCCAGGCCCCAGGGGCAGGCTGCAGCAGGCTGGCAAAGGACCAGTCCCCAAATGGCCCAGGGTAGCGGCTGCTAAGAGCAGAGACCCCAACTCGGGCTCCCTAAAAACCATGCTCCTCCTCCCTGCCCAGCACACGCCCACCCGGCCCATCTTCACACCGTCTCCACCTCGTGCCAGGTAGCGTCTGTCTTGCTGCCGCCCCTCTTCTGGGCGCCACCTCCCTGACCTCTCCCTCCCTGTCAGAGAACAGCTGGGGCTCTGCCAAGCACGACACCCCAGAACTGTAAGCTGCTTTAGGGAACAGACTGTCTTAGGCCCCTGGGTGTCCTCACTGTGGCCAGGGAAGCGTGGGAACCCCCAAAATGCTTGGGAATCCACGAGAGAAGTCAACATGCATCTTTGTGACTGGCTTGGCTCAGAAACCCAGGGTGGTATGATTTTAACAACACTGCAAGCTGCAAAGTAAACCGAGCCGGATGTATACAGCTGGACCTTGAACAGCACAGGATTGAACCGCACGGGTCCAATAACACGTGGATTTTCTTCCACCTCTGCCACCCGAGACAGCAGGACCAACCCCTCCTCTCCCTCCTCCTCCACAGCCTACTCTACCTGAGGACAAGGACGAGGACTTTTATGATGACCCACTTGCATTAATGAATAAATATATATCCTTTTGCTTATGATTTTCTTAACACTTTGTCTTGCTTTATGGTGAGAGTGCAGCGTACCACACACGTAACAAGCAACACGTGCTCGTGGATTGCTCGTTACTGGTAAGGTCAACAGGAGGCTATTAGTTAAGTTTGGGGGATCCAGTTAAACACAGATGTTCAGCTGCACAGGGCTTGGCACTCCCAACTCCCGTGTTGTTCAAGAGTCAACTGTGCTCCTCCACAAGCTCTGAAGCACGTGAGCGCAGGGGCCACCTTGCCACGAGGAAACCCAGCCTTTCCTCCATCCTCAACCTCATCGAAACAGGACTGCCATGGAGGCTTTACTGCATTTGTTATTAACACCATATTTAAAATAGTAAGTTATTCCCCTGAGGACTTTTTCACTGGAAAATTCTTATGCTAACAAACTTAATTATTGTAACTCCAAATAAATAATCATTACTTTTTTTTTTCCTGAGATGGGGCATCACTCTGTTGCCCAGGCTGGCACGATCACAGCTCATTGCAGCCTCCTGGGCTCAAGTGATTCTCCCGCCTTAGGCTCCAGAGTAGCTGGGACTCCAGGCGCAAACCACTGAGCCCGGCTAATTTTTTAAAAAATATTTTGTAGAGATGGGGTCTCACTATGTTGCTCAGGCTGGTCTTGAATGCTGGAGCTCAAGAGACCTTTCCATCTCAGCCTCCCAAAGTGTTGGGATTACAGGCACAGGCCACTGCGCCTGGCCTACCTTTCTTGTCTTATGTGCTACAGGAAGCCAGGCTAAGAGCTGTGGGAGAAAGAGGCCTGGTCACATGGGCCTGCGACTGCCCATTTCCTGGAGCCTCTTGTTCCAGAAGAATCCTGAAGGTTCTAGGCCTTGTTTGCCTGAGGGGTGGTGAGCTCACTGTGTTAATGAGTGAATAATGAATATCTACAAGGTTAACACATTGACTGCCACAGGAAAAAAAATCAAAAACTTTTCCTTGGGGCCACCGTGTTTTATTATGAAAACAGAATAAAAAAATCAAGTGTGCTGTAAAGGTAAACATAAATAGAAAAATGAATTTGACAATAAGAACATCAACAAGATTTTATATATGGTTCGCGTGGCCCCAGGGTCAAAACTAGAGTGAGTTCAATACTACTCTCATGGCAGTTAATGTGTTAATACTGCACTGTTTAAAGAATTTCATTTAAAATGTAGGCAAATATGAAGATAGCAGTTTTTATGAATACGCAATAGCAGTGGGGGTACCTCTCCCTTTTCCATTACTGGGCTTGGCAGAGAGTAGAGGTTTATAGAAATGAGTCGATCTCACTGACTTGTAAGTCAATGATGGGTCTCTTTCCCTTCCCTGATCTTATTCCCTCAATTATCAACTTAAAAATGACTGCTGTTTCCAGCGTTTACATACTTAAGTAAACTCACAAATGGATATGGCAATTAAGCCAGATTCTTTATGGGTACCTGGTCTGATGGACGCTTCCATAGCCTATGCAAACTGTGTTTGTTTATAAACGACCCAGGTGAGAAAAAGTCTGCAGGGGGAACAGAATATAGTGTGAATCATGTCTAATTTTAAATATTTTAATTTATGTACTTTCATGAATACAGGTCAGTAAGAAATCCACTTTTCAGATTTTATTTCATTATAGAATATATTTGACAGGGATACATACAAACAGAGTCATCTTTAATACGAGCTGTTTACTGGTGCCCCGCCTGTCTGCGGCAGGCTGGTGCCGGCATCAAACATGTTTCCAGAAGTTGCACTTACTCAGCCACTCTAAACAACCAGCGCCTTAGAGTTCAGATAATTCATTTGCTTGCCTAGAACGGGTAAAAATCTCAATATTTGTTTTAAAGTCTGTTTATTACTCTTCTATTTAAAAATCCGAGATACATTCCCCAATGTAAACAATAAATTTCAATCTGTCACACAATCAAAATGGGTAAGGCCTTCTTGACAAATTTCTGCCACCTACGTTTTACTCCTCAGAACACAACCTTATTTCACACTGTCACGAGTCGTCCATGCACGAAAGACAGGACAGCAGCTGCCCTTGGCACCTGGTGGCGCTCTCCAGACTTCTCCTCCCCGCGGGTGTGCGGGGCACTCAGGAGATCACTGCTGACTTGGTCTGCTTGGTCGTAGAATACAAATGTACAGCGTCCATAAGCATCGACAGGAAAGCCTAGTCTTACGCGTTTGTCATGAACCGCTAAAATCCTATACGAGTACAATGTCATATCATGCCAATCACTGTACACACGGCGGTGGCGGCACGGCTCACGGTGAACCGGGCGCGTGAGCAGGGGCGGAGGGCGCGAGTGCCGTCGGTGGTGAGCGGCTGGCTGCGTCCGGCTGGGCAGGACGGTGCGTGTACGTCGGTTTGGAGTGGAATCTGCTGGACAAAGAAGAATGAATGCAAGCCTCCTCGCAGCCCCGGAGGGGAGGCGCGTGGAGCCTTAGAGAGCGCACCCAGGGCAGCCTCCGGTCGCGTTTCCGAGGCTGCTCCGCACGTCCCCGCTCCCGCTCTCCTCCGGCGGCCTAGCCCGCTGGGACCGCCTCGCCAACAGCCACCGGTCGCGGCCGCTGCCTCACGATCCTCATAAATCCTGACCGAGCAGGCCAGACGGTGAAACAGACTATCCACAGTATCTTAAAAGGCATTCTGTGACCATTTTTGAAGAGTTCGTAGGAAAGTTCCCAAGGATGTACCAGTCACTTGTGTTGACGTCACCGCAGTGTAAACCTTCTCCGTGTTCAGCGCGCTGTTGCACGCCTGGCGCGCGGAACTGCGAGTCGGAACCGCTCGCCCGCCGCCGCCCGCCGGCCGCTCGGCGAAGGTAAGCGGCAGAGGGCATGGTTTTCCTGAGGTTTGTGAGAATTTTTTAAAACAGAACAGAAATCACAGTGACCAAGCGCAAAGCGAGGCGCGCCTTCCGTGCGCGCCCCGCTCCCGGCCTCGCCGGGGGCTAGACGACCCGCCACTGCATGATGCTGGTGTCCTTCCCGCCCGTGGAGATGAGGTGGCTGTCTTCGCAGAGGAAGTCGACGTTGGTGACGTGGCTGCTGTGCCCGCCGTAGATGTGGCTGGGGGCCTGGAAAAGAGCGATTGGGGGGAAGCTGACTACGAAGCCAGCTATCTGGATGAGAAAATGCCTGACTCCGGGTTCACTCCCTGATTCCTTTACTCCTCCCTTCGCTCGGCAGCTCTCTGTGCACAGGAGGGACACAGGAACAACTCCCACGGAGTCCCCACGGCCTGGTGAGGGCTCGGCCCAGAGACAGGCTGGGCACCAGAGGGCTGTACCAGGCACCGGGTCGCCCACAGGCGGGACCAAGCAGAGGCGGGGCACTGAGGCGCAGGAGGGTCGGTGCGGGAGGACGAGCAAGGGCGTTCTAGGCATCGGTTGGCTCAGCTCGGCAGGGCCGGGGCAAGGGAGTCATGGTGGAGGGGAGGGGAGGAGAGGGAGGCCCAGGAGCCACAGAGGGAGACAGGCCAGACCTGGCGGCCGTGTAGGTCACGGGAGGGCCGGGGTTTCCCCGAGGGCAGCGGGGAGCCGGGAGCAGTGGCTAACAGGGGCGTATCTGCATTCCTGGCTGGTGACATTCACGGATAGCCCATTTCTGTTCGGCTTCCAGACAGGTCAGGCCATACGTGCATGCCCCCCTAAGGGACAAGATTGTGGAGAAACAAGTCCTTTACCCTAAACTGTGAGCAGGGATAAGAGAACAGGTGCACTTTGCCAAAGTCGTCGCCCGTTGACAGGAGTTTCTTCTCATGGGCCCGACAGACAGCGTTGATGTCGGTTCCGTCCGAGCCTTCTGGCCACACGCCTAAAACAAAGGACACAAACAGAGCACAGGCGACACCAGAGACACGGGGCCCATCATGGGGGAACTGGCCACGGAGCTGCCGTGCAAATAAAATGCCCGGAGTCCAGCTTTAGCAGCAAGGGTCAGAAGAGCACTTAGTCTTGGCTCCCAGCATCACGGCACCCCCGGCCACTCTCGGGGAACCCTCCAACGCCTGGCCACTACATGGGGGCTGCAAGACAGACTTTCTGGGCTGCCCACTTCTTTTGGGGCCCCTTCTTGGTGCTATAGCAGAGAGTACTAGAAACCCTGGTTCTGAACTCGACACCTTCCCTTTACCCCAAAGCCTCCGAAGGGAGCGGACTAGTCCTCAAGCCTGCGGTTTCCTGACTTTCTTATTTTGTAATTCTTCTCTCTGAGCGTCTACCCAGAGGACAGTTGAACCCTGGGTCTGCGTGTGCCTTCCAGGCGTTTCTAGACGCTGGTCCCTGGCAGCTGCACCTGCAGCCTGAGCCCGGGTGGGGGGGCGCTGACTTCTGACCATTATTGGGACTCTCTCTGGGTCTTGGTAACTCCAGAGCCGAGAGGGCGGAGCAGCGCACACCAGTTTGTGAGCGGCAGCCCTGCAGCCCGCAGCTCTGGGCATTCCCCACCAGGAGTCAGCAGAGCGCCGCTCTCGGGAGACCGGTGAGTCTCACCAACTTACTGGCCGTGGCCTCACGGAAAGAGATTACAAAGACTGCCTGTTCTTTTTTATCCTACTAAATTGTGGCAATTTAATTTAGGTCATTTATGAATATATTCCTAAAGTGAACTTTGAAGGCAGTGAAATATTTCATTTAAGAGCCAAAAAAAAATATAATGACCCTAACAAATGATAAGTAAATTGACTTAACTCCATCTGGTCCACCTAAGTCAGTCTGGCACAACGTGATATAAAAAGGTTCCAGAGAATTATCTCGGGACCCATTTGTACAATGGGAAAGGGTTAAAAACCCATCTTCCTAAGATCTTCTCAGCCTGCCCCACCCGGCACCCCAGGGAGCGGCGGCGTGTGTCTTGGGGGATTCATGCAGCAGCAGAGCAGGGGGACAAGAGTGGTGACGATGAGATTTCATAAGCACTAGAGCAATGCTCCACATGTGGACACGTCTTGTGTTTGAACCCAGTGAACTCCGTGGGAAACTTACCAAAAACATGGAATCCCAAAGTGCAGGTATAGGTAGCCCATTCAATGTCTCTCGTAGTTTCCACACTTACGACTTGCTTACAAGCAGAGGGAACCCCTGGAAAAGGCAAACAGTCTGGTGACATCTAAGCCAAGGCCCCACCCCTCCCCCAGCAAGGCTGAGCCCTCAGAGCCCTTGCAGGGAAGGACACTCTCCACCTGAAGCCCCCTGGGGACCATGCACGCATCTGCCAGCCGCCCCAGAACCGAGCCCGGGCCCCGCCTGGCTGGAGGAGACCCTCCTCTCCCACTTTCCTCTGCTCTCCTCCTCCGAGTCTGTTCCCACGGGCTGGACTCTCTCGTCTTTGACCATCTCTGGGTCCTGGCCTCTGCCGTGCTGTCCCCACTGGAGCCCCTGGACACAACCCGCCCCTGCCGTCAGCCCCCACCCCTTGTTTCCTCCAGCTCGGGGCTAAGAAGCTGATGGAGACTGGTCACCCCAAGTGCCCAGATCCTCCAGGAGGTTTTTTGTTTTGCAAACGAGCTCTCACTAGTGGAGTATGAGACCAAGTCTGAGAAGATTCTAGGCCCAAGGATTATCCCTGGGAACCATCACCCTGTTTCTGCCTGAGTCAGACACGGCCCGGACAGGGGGAGAGCGGAGACCACGTGGCTGCCTTCTCCCGAGAGGGGTCTCCTCCTAGTATACACTGTCCCCCTGCCCCTACCACCAGCAGTCCTGCCTGTCCTGGTTCCACAACAAGTGGGTGACATGCCCAAGGGGTGTGACTCCTTCCTCCCCATTCACTGGCTCTTGGTGCCTGTGGCCTGGTGTCTGAGCCCTGGTTTCTTCATGTGTCAAATGGGACTAAGCCAGAAAGTGCTGCGGATAGTATGGGAAAATGCAGGTGAAGGGCACTTTCTAGTAACTTCCAGAGGGGCACCCTGCCCTGGGCCTGGGTGGGTTTCTGGTCCTTCCTTTTGCTTCCTGGCTCAGGAGAGGCTGCCCTCTTCCTGGACTGGCCTTCCAGGCCGTTTCCTCCTGTGTGTCCTGGGTCTTCCTCCAGTCAGCAGCAGGCATGGCTGGTGAAGGTGAAGGGCACTTTCTAGTAACTTCCAGTGGGGCAGAGGCCAACTCTTTCTCGTGCCCCATGATCCCTCTTGCTTAGCCTCACGCTGGGCACGTGGCCAGTGGCGGGTAACTGTTTGAGGACTCCGTGCACGCAGGTAGCCTGTGCTCAGTAAGCGCCGGCCATCCTCACCCTCACGTTCCCAGGCCCCGCCCAGGCACAGAGACTGGCCAGGGACGGGTTGGGAGAGGAGGACGAGGGGCCACAGGGGCTGCTGTCCACCCAGGCGGGAGGGACTTCCTGCTGTCTGCCTGCCTGGGATGGCACCTTCACGGGGCCCTTCCGTGCATGTGTGGCCTTCTCCTCGGGTGGGCCCTGCATCTTCCCCTCCGTGAGGCCCACGGTCAGCCCGAACCCCAGATGTCTCAGCGCCAGGAGGGACCTGGGAAGCTGCGCAACCCACCTCCTCCGCGTACAGAGGAGGGACCCAGGCCGGAGATGACATCATGCGCCCAGGTCACACAGAAGTGGGTCTTAGCCCCGTCTGGGTCTCGGAGTGAATGCTTTATGCTTTGTGTGACCTAAAGCCCAGACAACTCCTGCTGCTACTCACAGTAAAGGATTTCATAGTCTCCAGAATTCGACACGAGGAATTGCGAGTTTACAGACCAGTCCAGGTGAGTGATGAAGCTGGAGTGACCCTGGGAGAGAGATGGTTGCGTGAGCTCCTCTCGCCTTATCCTGGACGCACCACACGGATGTGATCAGAGGACCACGCGCACGCTCGTGAGGAGTAGCGAGTTCACTTACTGAGCACTTGCCAACGCGAGCGTACTTCCTCCCGTTGTCGCTGACTCCGTATATGTAGATGCAGTTGTCGTGAGAGCCTATTGCCAAGAAATTCCCATCTATAAAAACATGACACGTTACATTTCAGATGTTAAAAATAAACATTTTACTCACTGCAAAGGATAACGGTAGTTGCCACCACAGATCCAGACATAACAACCAGTTTGGTGAAGTATTGCAAAGAGAAAAATTTGCTTTTGAATGAATTCCAAAGCTGTCTTTTGAAAAATACACACCTGATCAGATTATAAAATCCGGTAAAGATTTATAAACTTTTTATAAACTCTTTCTATGAACTCTTACACAACCCTTTCCTGGCCACCCTGTGCCCATCACTGAAGGTGGAGATTCGGTCCCTCCGAGGGGCCCACGGGCTCCGGAATACGCAGGCTTTCTTGCGCCTCCATGCTTGCGGGCCCTACCTGGGAGGCCCTGTCCCCATCTCTTCCCGTGGGCCGCCATGCAGTGTCTCCTTCCCCTGGGTCCCCAGTCCAGGAAAGCCCAAGGAATCAGGCCCCAGTGCACGTGTTGAAACACAAGGGAGGCCGCTCACTCTAACAAGAAGCAGGACCAGCCCTGTGGCTGAAAAGCGGACGAGCCATGCCTGCTGCTGACCCAGGACATACGGGCAGGAAACAGGGCCTGGGAGGCCAGTCCGGGAAGAGGGCAGCCTCTCCTGAGCCAGGAAGCAAAAGGAAGGACCAGAAACCCACCCAGGCCCAGGGCAGGGTGCAGAGCAGTGGGGGTCCCTGTACACCAGCACGCGGGCTGCAGCCAGTCCCCGCTCTCACTGAGTCAGACCCCCACTGGCAAACGGAGCCTTTCTCAGCAGTCGAGGGTCTGCTTGGACACTGTCTGCCAAGTACCCAGTAGTCGCTGGCAGCACACAAGGCTTCAGTACGGGCACTCTATCCACCTCTCCCACGGTAGGAATCCTAGGACAAGGCGTGGCTGGTGCCAGCAGGAAATGGTATTTTAAGAAGTCTTGGCCTAGGCCAGTCAAATAGGGGTGGTAGCAGACTGGGGCAGCCTGTTCAAACCAGGGGCCCTGGAGGAACAGGCAAACAGATGCTCTTGCTGAAGTCGGAGCCTGGCCGCCATCAGTCACGGTGCTAGAAACCCAGCTGAGCTGATGATTCCTTCAAGTGACCAGCCCTGCCATACCAAACACTATTAGTAATCACTACGTAATGATAATAATTATAATTATTACAATAGCCAACATGCATTGAGTGCCTACTACGTACGAGGTACTGCACTCTTCCTGTGTTAACTTATTCGGTCTTCATAACCCTATGAGGTAGATATAATTATTGCTGCTTTTCAGGAGAGGAAACTGAGGCACACAGGGTAAAGCAACCTGCCCACAGTCATGCAGGCGTCCTGAAGCTGGCACTCAAACCCAGGCGCTCTGACCCCTGACGGGGTCTGGGCACTTTGTCGCTAAATTTCACTGCCCCTGTGACACAGCATAAGGGGAAAGGACAGCTGAAAGTCTGACACGTGCCGTGTTGGGGTGGGTTGTGCGCCCCGAGCAAAATGGCCTCAGAGAACTGCCTGGTCATTTGCGAACTCAAAAATAACAAGGCCTCTTTCATAACGGAACCATTTGTTATTTGACCAACAAGTTTAGGGCAATGGGTTAATTATTTAAGGGAAAAAAAAGTCAAGTCAGAGCATCCCCCCTGCCTTTTAAAAATCAACTTTGAGGTGTAATTCACACGTAATGAAGTGCCCACAGAGCAAAGAGTTTTGGCAAACGTGCCTGTGTAACTAGCATCCCTGCATCTGTTTATAAAGACGAATGAAAAATAGGGGTTCACGCTCTCCCTCGGCAATCCATTACCCCCGACAGCCTCAGTCGGGTGGCCATCCCCCTTTAAAACTCCACTCATCCGTCTTCACGCAGCAGTTGAAGCTCGCTGCTGGCAGGAAACCCTCGAAATCCTCAAAGCAGAGAGCAGCCGGCCGACCGCACCGGCTGCAGTCCCAGCCTCTGCGTGGCACGGGGAGACTCAGAGTCCGGGGACACCTTCGTCCTCACTTGGATGACCGCGACCACCCCTCACCCCAGCGTCTCAAGATCCCGAACGCATGCATCCCCCGGCGCTGCCTCACCGTGAAAATCCAGCAGCAGCGTCTAGGAAGATAAAGGCAGGACCGAGAGGAATGTTCCCTTCCTCGGGGTGGTGGCCTCCCAGACCCCAGCCCTGACAGCCCCGCACGAAAGCCATCCAGCCACTCAGACGACTCCCCGTCCACCACGGCCGCCCCGGAAGACGGCAGGGCACATGGCTGAGAACGTGGGCTTTGGGTCGGGAAAGCCTGCGTCCAAATCCCAGCTCTTTTCCCTATATTCACTCACAAATATATAAAACCACAGCCAAACCTACCAGTGCCGCTCAGCCGCGAACCAGAGGACAGATGGAGCCCAGGCACAGCCCATGTCCGGGGCCTGCGAAGCCCTTTGTCTTCCCGTGACCTGTCTTCCTCTGCCCTGAGACCCTCTACGCGTCATCCCAGCTTTCCCAGAGACACCGAAATCCCTAAACTTCTCCGCTGTGACAAGCCGGCATTCGGCCCCCAGCGAGAATCAGCTGGAGAACGTCGGAGGCGAGAGCGCCAAGTCCCGCCGCGAGGAAGAGGAGGAAACCTCACAGCTATTTTCAGTGACTGCCTGCTCGTGACCAGTCGGGGCTGGGGACTCGCACACAGATCTTCATCAAGCCCAACAGGCCGCAGTAGACGCACAATTAGCGTCACTCTGCAGATGAGGAAATGGGGGCTGTGAATTACAGGACAGGCAGGGCGAGGGGCACAGGCAGGGAGCTGCATGCTTGGCTCGCCAGGGCTCGGGATGATGAGCGAGATCGGCGGGTGGGGCACGGTCTGCAGGTGGAAGAACAGCTGTGTGGCCGCTGTGTGGCCTCCCTGCGTTACACTGGGCCTTGTGACCTGGGGCTCAGAGACAAGGCTGCTGCCTCTGCACAGGGTCTAGCCCAGGGTAGGGGACACTAGGTGGCAGGGGCTGCATCAGGGCAGGTCTTAGACCCAGGCAGCAGAGGTGGGATTTGATGCTGCAGGTGACACAGTGAACAATAGCAGCTTCCACATCTCAATGACATGGTAAGATTGGAGAGCAGAAATATGACTGCATGACCAACGGTACCTGGTCCATTTGCATCTTCTCTCTTTCATCTTTACTTTTTTAGATTTTTTTTTTACTTTTTAGAGACAGGGTCTCACTCATTGCTCAGGCTGGGGTACAGTGGTGCGACCAAAGCTCACTGCAGCCTCGAACTCCTGGGATTAAGTGATCCTCTTGCCTCAGCCTCCTGAGAAGCTTCTCCACTGTGACAAGATGGTGTTCAGCCCTGAATGCATGGTACTATAGGTGTGTACCGCAACGCCTAATTTTTTTAAATTTTTAGTAGAGACCGGGTCTCACTCTGTGTCCCAGGCTGGTCTGAACTTCTGGCATCAAGTGATCCTCTTGCCTCAGCCTCCCGAAGTGCTGGGATTACAGACATGAGCCACTGCACCTGGCCTCATCTCTACTTTTAGATATTTATCCTCATTTCAATGGGTTGAAACTAGAACAGTCAGGCTAAATATTTGCAGTTGGGCTTACTGAATATAAAATTATTTTCTTCCTAATTCTGTATTTCTTTTAAAAACATACAATTTTGATTCAATCAAAGTTCCATTTCGTCCAATCAATACTCAATAAGATTCCTGATATGCATGTTAAATATGAGAATTGTCACTACTAAATTTCTACATTTGGCTGGGCACAGTGGCTCATGCCTGTAATCCCAGCACTCTGGGAGGCTGAGGTGGGAGGATCGCTCAAGGTCAGGAGTTTGAGACCAGCCTCAGCAAGAGCAAGACCCCATCTTTACTATAAATAGAAATAAGTTAATTGGCCAACTAAAAATATAGAAATAAAATATATATAGAAATAAAAATATAGAAAATAATTAGCCAGGCATGGTGGCATATGCCTGTAGTCCCAGCTACTCAGGAGGCTGAGGCAGGAGGATCCCTTGAGCCCAGGAGTTTGAGGTTGCTGTGAGCTAGGCTGACGCCATGGCACTCACTCTAGCCCAGGCAACACAGTGAGACTCTGTCTCAAAAAAAAAAAAAAAATGAAAGAATAAATAAATAAAAAATAAATTTCTATATTTGATAAACATAAGGGGGCTGGCCTTTTGCTAACAAACATAGTTGATTGTGATTTTAATAAACTTCCACATAACATTAGCTTACTAGCATAAGACCATTTTATGTAAAATATTTCATAAATGAGAAATAGTTGTTAAAACATGATTGAAAATCAGGCACGGTGGTGCACACCTGTAGTCCCAGCTACTTGGGAGACTGAGGCAGGAGGATCATTGGAGCTCATCCAGCCTGGGAGTTCAAAGCTATAGTGTGCTATGATTGCACCTATGAATAGCCACTCACTCCAGCTGGGCAACACAGTGACACCTTGTATATTAAAAAAAAATTAAAAAGAATAAGAGGACAGGACGTCCAGCTAAGGTCAAATGAGATGGTTGGCAAATCCTCTCCCCATAAAGCAACTATGAAACTGTATAAAACGGATGAAAACCACCATTTCAGCACTCTGGAAATTGACCAAAGACATAGAATAATCTGAGACATGTTTATGAATATCTGTGGAATTTCAGGTGAAAACTGGCAAATCTATGGTGGTCTTCCCTGAGCTGCCCTGGGCCCCTTCCAGCAGCTGGGCTGGCACAGAGGCTGCCCAGGGAAGAGCAGCTCTGAGGATGAGCAGATGCACGGCTGTGGTTAAAGGGCTCTCTCCACATGAAGGCCTGGGTGACATCCAGGTCCAGCAGCATTGGCAATGGAAGTGACAACCACTAGGGCGGTTGGGTGGGGAGAGCCAATGGCTCTACCAGCCTGAGGTTACGGTTGTGGCTTCCCTGGGCAGCCTCTGTGCCAGCCCAGCTGCTGGGAGGGGCCCAGGGCAGCTCAGGGAAGACCACCATAGATTCGCCAGTTTTCACCTGAAATTCCACAGATATTT